GACCTCTGGATGACTCTGGTTCTACTTCTCTTCTCATCCTTTTCCACCTCTCAACTGCATTTAATGCAGTTGATCACTGCCTCCAACGTGACATTGATATCTCTGACATTGCACTTCAGTGGTTTCAATCATACCTTATAGGAAAGACTGAGTTCATTGCTCTGGGGGAAGCTAAATCCTGCCCTCACACTGTTATCTGTGGGGTCCCCGAGGGCTCTGTGCTCAGTCCTACCCTTTTCAAAAACTACATGTTTCCCCTTGGTCATGTCATCTGCAGGCATCAAATATGATGGACACTTTTAAGAAAGGACTCAATAACTTCTTTTTTTAAAAATAGCCTTTTTTGTCTGATTTTAGGCGATTATATCAATTGTTTTATTGCTCACCTCCTTTTTATTTGATTGTATGTCTTACATTGTAGGCTGTGCTGTGCACTTGGAGATTTGCTCCCCAAACTTAAAATGCATTATGAATAAAATCTATTATTATTATTATTGTTGTTGTTGTTGTTGTTTTTGTAATTATTGTCAAATATTTTAAAGTGACTTACTAAGTTGGTTGAACAAGGGAGATTGCACTGCTGATCTGTAGAACTGTACGCTCACCGCCTTTTTAATTAATGGACCTCCAAACACTCATAAGCACAGTATTCTGAATAAATTACTTTTATTGGCTTTATTTCAGGCGGCCTGGTGGTCGACTGGTTAACACGTCCACCTCACAGTGCAGAGGTGCAGCCTTCGATTCCGGCTCCGGCCTTCCTGCGTGGAGTCTGCATGTTCTCCACGTGCCTGCATGGGTTTTCTTTCGGTGAGTACCCGAGAGGAAACCGAAGTTTCCTCTCACGTTGCATGCATGCATGGCAGGTTAATGGAACACTCTAAATTGTCCCGAGGTGTGAGTGTGACTGCGAATGGTTATTCGTCTATGTGTGCCCTGCGAATGGCTGGCAACCAATTCAGGGTGTGCCCCGCCTACTGCCCGAAGACAGCTGGGAAATGCTTCAGCACGCCCGTGACCCTTGTGAGGATAAGAGGATTAGAAAATGGATGAATGGATTTATTTCATCCAGAATCGAAAAACTTTTTAAAAGTTAACAGGCTAGACCTGTCATAGGCACTGACACACCCCCTAACAGAAAGTATGTTCACCTTTAAAGTGTGCTATATTTTCCTTTTTTGGTGGTTCAGCTCCAGCTTGCTGTTTACTCATGGTGAGTGTGTCGTAAATCTGGTTGTCTCTGGTAGTATGAGCTTCGCTGGTATTGCAATAACAAGCAACTATGATTAACAAAGACATGACATATAATGATAAAAAGACTTTCCGTAATGTCGGTACCATTGTGCAGTAGATAATCGTACCATTCTTAAGTGACCAGGAGCAGTGATTGCAGTCAAACGCCAGGTATGCAAGTACACAGAAAGTTCTTGAGCGCTTTCAAGTGTCTATTGCTGTGGAATATTCATCAACGATGGTTGTTTTAAATATGTAGAAAGGTGGAGCTACAATGATGGAGCACAGCGGTGTGCAACACTTGCAAAGAACCACTATAAATTAGAATCTGTTTAGTGAGTTGATGGTAGGAGGGAAGAAGCTCTTTGAAAGTCTGGTGGTTTTGTTGTGCATGTTTCCATAGCACCGACTAGAGGGGAGTATCTGGAAAAGGTGGTGGGCGGATTAGGGGTGTCCAGTAGAATTTTAGGTGCCCTTGGCTTGGTTCTTGTAGTGTGCAAGGCCTCGAGAGTGAGTAGGGTGGTACAGATGATTTTTTTTCCGCAGTTCTAACTGTGCATTGTAGCCGGATTTTGTCCTTTTTAGTGGCGACAACAAACCAGGTTGTGATGGAGGAATACAGGAATGATACGATGATGGCTGTGTAAAACTGTCAGAATTTTCTCGTAGCCATCCGGAAGTCGGTTTGCATGGCCTCACCGAACTCTTCCCGCGCCCGAGGTTTTGACTTGCCGACCACCGAAGCAGTGTTCCGCCGGGCAGCCGGTACCCGTCAGCTGCCTCCGGAGTCCAACAGGCCAAAAAGCCCTGATCAGACTCCTTCAGGTTGATGGCATCCCTTACCACCCATGTCCACAATCAGCTTCAGGGATTCCCGCCACGACAGGCACCTTATAGCGACAAATCCAATCAACTACCTTAACAATAGAAACGCGGAACATGGTCCAGTTGGACTCAATGTCCCCCGCCTTCTCCGGGACATGGGCGAAGCTCTGTCAGAGGTGGGAGTTGAAACTCTTTCTGACAGGGGATTCTGCCAGACACTCCCAACAAATTCTCACAATACGTTTGGGTCTGCCAGGTTGGACCAGCATCTTCCCCCACCATCAAGCGAAATCATGTTCTAATGTTATTACTCATCATAAGGGGTCTGTGAAATGTGCTTGGTCTGGTCCCTCACCAAAGATCCGTTTGCCATGGGTGACCCTGGCATGGGCATATTTTCTCTGGTCTTTCTATTAGTAGTCTTAAAAGTCTGCAGTTAGGAGAAAATGCTGCAGCCAGACTCTTGACAAAGGCGAGAAAGTTTGATCATATACGTGCCAACTTGCATGGGCTCTCAGTCCACTTGAGATGCGATTGCAAGGTGTTACTTATAAAATATTACACGGCTTAGCACCTTATTGTGTTGATTTAGTGGTACTGTATGCTTGGTTCACAACAGGTTGGTCGTTTTGTGATCTGAGAGCCAAAAAGAAGTCTACCAGGGCGTATGGAATTTCCTCTTCAGACTCCAGAGGGGGTCACACTCCTTAGCCTCCCTGGTAAGGTCTATTCAGCGGTGCTGAAGAGGAGGGTCCATCAGGAAGTTGAGCCCCAGATTCAGGAGGAGCAGTGTGGTTTTCGTCCCGTTCATGGAACAGTGGACCAGCTCAACATCCTGAGCAGGCTCCTCGAGGCTACGTGGGAACTCACCCAACCAGTCTACATGTGCTTTGTGGACTTGGAGAAGGGTTTCGATCGTTTCCCTCGGGGAGTTCTGTGGGGGGTTCTTCAGGAGTATGGGGTACTGGACCCTCTGAAACGGGCTGTTCGGTCCCTATACCACTGATGTCAGAGTTCGGTTTGCATTGCCGGCAGTAAGTCGGAATCATTTTCAGTGAGGGTTGGACTCTGCCAAGGCTGCCCTTTGTCACCGATTCTGTTCATAACCTTTATGGACAGAATTTCTAGGTGCAGCCGAGGCATTGAGGAGTCCGGTTTGGTGGCCTCAGTTTTGCATCTCTGCTCTTTGCAGATGATGTGGTGCTGTTGGCTTCTTCAAGCAGGGTTCTCCAACTCTCATTGGAGCATTTTGCAGCCGAATGTGAAGCAGTCGAGATGAAAATTCACACCTCCAAATCTGAAACAATGGTCCTCAGTCAGAAAAGGGTGGAGTGCCCTCTTCGGGTCAGGGAGGAGATCTTGTGTTTAAGTATCTTGGGGTCTTGTTCACAAGTGAGGGCAGGAGGGAGTGGGAGATCGACAGGCGGATCATTGCAGCGTCTGCTGTGATGTGGACTTTGTATCAGTCTGTTGTGGTAACGAAGGAGCTGAGCAAAAAGGCGAAGCTCTCAATTTACAAGCCGATCTACGTTCCAACCCTGACCTATGGTCACGAGCTATGGGCCGTGACCGAAAGAATGAGATCCTGGATACAAGCGGCCGAAATGAGTTTTCTCCGCAGGGTGTCCGGGCTCTCCCTTAGAGATAAGGTGAGAAGCTCGGCCATCCGGGAGGGGCTCAGAGTTGATCCGCTTCTCCTCCACATCGAGAGGGGCCAGATGAGGTGGCTTGAGCATCTGATTAGGATGGCTCCTGGATGCCTCCCTGGTGAGGTGTTCCGGGCATGTCCCACTGGCAGCAGGCCCCGGGATGACCCAGGACACAATGGAGTGACTATGTCTCCCAGTTGACCTGGGAACCCCTCGGGATCCCCCGGAAAGAGCTGGAACAAGTGGCTGAGGAGCGGGAAGTCTGGGCTTCCCTGCTAAAGCTGTTGCCCCTGCAACCCGGCCCCTGATAAGCGGTAGAAAATGGATGGATGGAGACTCCAGTCTTCTGGAATGCCATACCTTTAGAGTCACTACCTCAGCTGAAATGTTTAAAACCGGACTTAGGATCGATTTGTATACTCTTAGATTTAGTTGAACTACAATTTGGCTTACTTGACTGCTGCTGTTGTCGGATTTGCTGCTATGTTTTGTACTGATCCATTTTTTTGTCCTGGTCCAGCCCCGCCCCTCCCCCTTCCGGGTTTGGTGAGGGGGCTTGGTGACGGTGACCAAATAGGATGGTGCTGTACAGACTCTGCTCCAACTGATCTGCCCAAGATCTGCACCGACTGATCTGAACAAGATCTGAAGTGGACCACCAGCGTTGCTATTGAGATTGCTTCAGTGACCAACTGAATTTTGAGGAGGGCCCACCGCTTAGAAGTTGTCTTCCTGCAGCATTTCATCTTATTAACTGCACTCTTACATTACATTATTTATTATTATTTATTGTGAGTTTTCTTGACCTTCTGGGGGTCAAAATCAGGGGTATATATGTCAAGTGTGGGCATGTGAATCCCTTTTCGACTTTTCTGTGCTTAAGGGCTATATAAATAAATTTGACTTGACTTTTTAGTTTGGTTTCAAAAACAAGATATGAGATATCACCAATGGTTGGTGTTTTTTAAAGTGTAGGGTTGCAAAATTAATGTATTATTATGACACCCGATGCCTATTTTCTTTGCATATTATACTGCAGATGCCATTTTGAAATTATCCCAACACAATATATATATATATGTATTGTGTTGGGATACATATAATGAATGAATGAATGAGTAGGTTTAAGATGCTGGCTCATTTGCATTTTTTTTTTTTACACATTTGATATTGTCTTAAAAAAAATACAATCATATGATGAAACAAAATATTTGCTTCTTATTTTCCAAAAGGGATACAGTATATAATACTCTATCTACGAGTAAATCTACATCGAGAGGTGTGTATGATGATAGGTACTAAGATAGGATGTGAGAGAAGCCAAAATGAGGAGAGACGGTCCTGAAAGCAGGACTTCCCTGATCCTCCATCATCTGCAGGAGGAGAAAAACACATACGCGCGTGCACAAACAGCCTCCCACATACACGCACAAGCGCGCAGTGCTGAGCGCTAGCAAGGAGCTTTAAACCGTTTCACCGACACTGAGACAAAGGGATTCTAACCTGCAACAATGGAGGAAAACATGGATGAATCACAAAGCCAGAAAGGTAGGACATGAGTGAAATATGTTATTTATTTCCATCTCATTATGTGTGTGCATTCTTTCATTGTTCTGTTCATACATCCTTCCAAGTAGCTTTTAGTGTCGTGAGCAGTAACAGCATTGATGTACTGCATCTAGAGGAAAAACATAATATATACTGTATATTCTATTATTGTTTATGGTCAAAAATATTTTGTGTCAATTTGATTTTTACTCTCAGATTGAGTGTTTGACATTATTTACCAGGGGCTGTAATCATTAAGTGACCAGTCTTTTTAATACTGCAGAACATACGGCCATATTCCATTCTGTGTCTTTTGATGAATGGATAATGAATCCGATTGAGGATGAGATGAGATGAAATGGCAGACTCTGGCGGGACAATGTTGTTTTGCTTAGGAAGGCTGGATGGACAGATGGACGAATGGAAGAAATTGTTGGATAAATGGATGGGTGGATGAAGAACATAGGAGTGGGAAGGGGGGGGGGAAACGTCGTTAAAGCAAAGTGGAGCAGTGATTGATGCTCCTATTGGGATTTTCTTTGTTAGACTCTATTGTTGCCGCTTCACGCTTGTCTGAGCGCCCTTTCCTCTCCTCTCTCTACACGGCTCCTGTTTTTGGTTGTTTGTGACCCCCTCCCCTGCCTTCCCTCCATTTTCTGTCCTCCTGTGAGAGCCCCTCACTGGTTTTGATCAGTATGTGTGACAGTTTATCAGTTTTTAGCTGGATTTGCCGAGATTGTCTGTCCATCCCGATGTTGCTGCATTTTTTACTGTCTGTTCTTTTTTTCCTTTCACTGCTCCTCACCATCATTGCCTCCCATTCTACAATCTATCATCCATTTTGTTTTCTTATTTTGATGGGGGGGGGGTTTCAATCACAGCATTTATTTAGCTCATCGTTAGTTCATCTGACAGCATCAATCAATATTTCGGAAAATATTCATGTTTTTACAGTAAATGTTATTTGTCTTGTTGTCGTCAAAATGGGCGTGTCCATTTTCTTCCTTGCATCCCGACTTTGAAACATAACATATTCCAGTCACACAGATTAAACCAATCACTAAAATCTTTTTTTTTTCTTTGAATTTGTGTCATGCCATCTGCATTGAACATTACATTTCAATTATTTACAATCCAGAGAAATATGGTTTGTTTCACGGAACTCTTGATTATTTTTTTTTTCTGAAAGGAATCTGCTTTGGCCAATCAGATTTGTGGGTAGGATTTGATGTAAGCATGTATTTAATTGTAATTATCTTGAGTTGAGCCCCCTGTTCGTTCAGTCACTCTGGCCTCTCTCTCCGTTTTGTAAAAATCGGAACAAGATTCAACCCTGACAATGGATATCTTGCTGGGCCTACGCCCACATGAGATCCCCTCCCTCCCCCAGCAAGGCAGTCTGAATCACACTCAACAGCATAATAACTCCATCCAAACAAGATTTTACAGCATCGCGATCATTTTGTTCCAAAATCATTTGGAAGTAATTAGAATCTAATGAGAGTTTCAATCATTTGCGGCACCAGCCTAATGATTGTTTTTCCTCACTGATTTTATGCTCCACCTGTTTGCCATTTTCATTTCGTCTCCGCTCTTTCTTATCATTGTATCTTGACATCTAAGATGGAGGAGGAGAATGTACAATCACCTCCGACAGTAGCTTGTCTGTTGTTTGGATACATAAATCCCTCCATTTTGCTGGGTTGTTGCAACTTCAAGTGGACTGCGGAAGGCGGAAGAACAACTGAATGTAAATGGAAAAAATTGATCATGATCAAATGATACTGCAATAGTAATCAGCTGATACCATGTGGATGCAACTTGTAACCACTGTCATGCTTCTGCTCTGAAATTACATTCTGAAAGGCTTGAACGAGAATATGCACCGGAAAAAATGAGAGGTGCTTTTGTACTTAGTTGTTACCCTGCATGCGTAGAACATACTGTCAGTATACTAACAGTTCATGTCAATACATTTTTCCTTTCAAATAATATTTAGAATGTTTTTAAAATATAAATTTACTAAATTCAATCCAACAAATAAATGGGCAGAGTACATCATTTTTTGAGACATAAAACTAAGCACTCTAAGACAATATAATAATGAATGATATACCAGGAGAACTGACTTTTCCTTTATGCACGAAAGCAACGGATTGAGAAACTTTCACGAAATCCCTGTGCACCATTTTCAGGGCACTCGAACACAGTGGGACATGTTCCATAATTACAAATAATAATTCATGTAAGGCAGCATGGTGGGCGACTGGTTAGCACGTCGGCCTCACAGTGCAGAGATGCAGGGTTCGATTTTGGCTCTGATCTTCCTGTGTGGAGTTTAAATGTTCTCCCTGTGCCTGCGTGTTTTTTCTCCACGTACTCTGGTTTCCTCCCACATTCCAAAAAACATGCATGGCAGGTTAATGGAACATCCTAAATTGTCGCCAGGTGTGAGTGTGAGCGTGAATGGTTGTTCGTCTATGTGTGCCCTGCGATTGACTGGCAACCAGTTCAGGGTGCCCCCACCTCCTGCCCGAAGACAGCTGGGATAGGCTCCAGCGCACCCGCGACCTCCATGAGGATAAGAGGATTCGAAAATGAATGCATGGATGGATGAAGGGATGATTAATTCATGTATTACTCCAAGGCGCGTAAAAAAGAAAATTTGATATGGTTTGCGATATGTGGGGTGTAAAATGACTCAAGGACAGTTAGATTTGAAAGTGTAATGATTCAAATCAGTTCGACTTAGTTCGATTACGATTCTATTAGCTATGGTATCGCTCAGTTCAAGAAGGTTTGATGTCATGACTTTTTTCTTGTGAATACTGTTAATGTGCCATTTCCTTGTACAGTCAAACCTTGGTTTTCGTCCATCATCCGTTCCATAAGACTGTTCGAAAACCAAAATTGTTCGAAAACCGAAACCACGCTCTTTTTAAAATAAAAATGCTTATTGAACACGTCTGCTCACAATGGAAAGCAACACGAGGAAGCGTCACTTAGCGTCACTTCCTCGTGTAAGGAAGGCGAGAGGAGTCAAATGGTGCATTCAAGTGCGCTCAATTTGTTCGAGAACCGAAATTTGTTCGTCATCCAAGGCATAAAAAACTCGAATTTTGAAAAAAAAAAAAAATTGGATGACGCACCCTGTTTTGTTATGTGTGCTGTATAATAAGGTAATTTGCAAAGAAACGCCATGTTTTGTGTGTGTGTGTGTGTGTGTGTGTGTGTGTGTGTGTGCGTGTGTGTGTGTGTGTGTGTGTGTGTGTGTGTGTG